GGACAGACATTCATAGTTGCAGAGGGCAGAGGGCAGAGGTGGTCTGGGCTTCTCGTCTGGGCGACTAGGAGGCTTGTGGTAGCAGAAAGGTCAGAAGAGCCCGTCATTGTTGGCAGTAAATGAGGTCAGCTTGTGAATGCTGAGTGCAATGTTAATGTTAAGTCTAAGATGATGGCAGACCACTTAAATCAGGTGAGTCATTCAGCAAGTAACTGTGGGTACATGGCCAAACCTCAGAGGCAAGGTGAAAACCCATGCTACAGAAGTGGGAATAACTAGGGAAGATGTACAAGGGGAAAGCCATGATGCAACTGTATGCCTGCTCCCATAAAGAAGTGGGGTTAATCCCAGCACTCGGGAGGCAGAGACAGGAGAATCTCGGTGTGTTCGAGGCCAGTCTGGTCTACAAGAGCTAGTTCCAGGACAGGCTCCAAAGCTATACAGAGAAGCCCTGTCTCGAAAAACCAAAACCAACACTCCCACCCCAGAAAAAAAAAGAAAGAAAAGAAATGGGGGAGCAAGGGGAGCTCCTTTGCTGCTGGGCAATTCTGTAGCTTGACCTAAACTATTGCTAAGGTCCACTGAGGACTACACAGACTCCATGCTGGCTGGAGAAAGGGTGTAATGTGCAGACTTCTGGCTAGCTCTAGGAAGGCCTGGGGAGCTCCTCTCTGAGGAGAGGAGGCGGGACTAGCAAGAAAGAGGACTAAGGAAGGCTCACAGGAGTAGAAGGAGGTTCAGATAGTGCAACCAGGCAGACAGCTCTTTCAACAGCTTGGGGAGGCTGATATGGCTATTGCCATAGTGGTACTGGTGCTCAGAGAGAAGTCACTAGTGATGTACTCCACACCTCTCCTTTTCAAGCTCACTAACACAAATATCAAAACAAATTTATCTATTTACCCAACTGTCTATCCACCCTCTCATCCATCCATCTGTACAGTTATCCACTTTTTCTTCCTTCACCCTGTTGCTGTGCCTATGCGTGTACTCCAATTTCAAACTCACTTTTCTGACTAGAAGGGAGAAGGAACTATTGTGAATAGGCTATCAATGTTCCACTCTAAGGTTGGTGTTCCTGGTCTGAAAAGAGGAAAGAATGGCCAGTTTCTCTTCCATTTGCTCCCAACCCTGTCCCTTGGGCCTTAGTCTTCGGATTTCTCTGCAGATGGCAAGGTTCAGCTCATTTTGAGAATGCTCCATGTTGGCTGCAGAAAACACAAGAGAATGTTTATCTTTTTGAGTTTATGGTGGGGAGGCAAACTGAAGTCCCTGAAAGAGAAGGAAGATCAGGGTTTTCTGTTGCGAATGCTAATGGCTTCAAGGCTGGCTCACAAGCTGAAGCTGACTTGGGTGTGGCCAGCTCATGGTATTTGCTCAGCATCCATAGTTACCATCTCAGTCCCCAGAGAAGGGATTGCTAGGTTCCATGTGAAGGTATGGACCCCTACAATCCAAACATGTCTTATTGCGCTACCTGCTTACAAATTCGATCCAAGTATGGATGGAGGTAGGGGGAGTGAAACAGATGAAGGAAGAGAGATAGAAAATGTGTGTGTGTGTGTGTGTGTGTGTGTGTGTGTGTGTGTGTGTGTGTGTCTGTATTTTCATGGTTTCAACTGGTTTGGAGATTCAAAAACAATGAGAGATCCTTTCCTTTGCATCTGTGCTGACCCTTCATGGTTCCTTGCCAGGGTAACCATAGAGCCCTCTCATTTATGCAGATAAATGGGTGGGTGGATAGGCTCTTGTCTTGCACCCATACTCCCACCAAGAGCTGGCCTGGGATTACTGTAGTAAGGCCGTGCTGGTCCAGTGCTTTCCTTTACCCATTTCTCCTCAAGACTGTGGCTGCCTCACTCCAGCTCCTTCCCCATTTGCCACCCTCCCAGCTCCAGGGCTTTCCTAGCCTGTAGATATCACCTGCAATCCCAGAGATTTTGTGTTGCACCTTGCCAGTCTACTGCTAGTGCTTCCAAAGGATGGTGCTGGTAGCAACATCCCTTGGGCAGGCCACGTAGCTCACTTCTCAAGCCCGCTGGAATGTGTCACTTCCCAGAGGGAGAGTCCCCTACCTCGTTCAAAATGGAGTTTGCAGTCTGCCAAGAGTTCCCTAGCAGAAGCCCCACTGCACTGTCTGAAGCCACCGTGCCAAGGCATTAGCTTGGGGGCACTTGCTGGCTTTAGGCCCATAGATTGGCCATTCTGCAGGCCAGTGCAGCTCTGCAATACGTCCAGAGCCAGGAGTCTAAAGCACCCATCCCCTATTTTCACCAGCCCTCTCCCTTCCTTGCTCCTTCCCTCCCTGGCTCCCTCCCTCCCTGGCTCCCTCCCTCCCCTGGCTCCCTCCCTCCCTGACTCCCTCCCTCCCTGACTCTCTCCCTCCCTGGCTCCCTCCCTCTCTCCCTGGCTCCCCCCCCTCCCTCCCTCCTTCCCTCCCTCCTTTCCCCTCTCTCTCATGGCCTTCAGCCCCCACTTGCACAGCAATTGTTGGGTGTGACATCTCCACACACAGCAATGTTTCTCTCTTGCTTAGAGCATATGCCCCTCCCTCCTCGGGATCCTGCAGTGGTTCCCAACTGCCTCTCAAATAAATTTAAATCTTATCTTTGTGGGCCTTAGAGCCCTCCATAATTGTATCCCCCCCCCCATCGCACACACCACATGCACCGTGTACAATTCAGGTTCAGACATATGCACAGCAGACACTGTTCACAAATGCTCCTGGCTGGAGCTGCCACAGGTGCTTTTAAGACCTCATCCAAAGAGTCACTCCTCTGCCTCCTTTTAAAATGGTAAATGTTACCTGTGAGGTACAGGCAATAAAGTCCTATCAGCTATTAACAGCTTGCCCTGGCACGGATTCTGTCATCAAATTTGACAGAGAAAGGAGCAAAGCCCCGCCTTAATAGTCTAGGGGGGCGGGGGAAGGGACTCGGAGCAGTCCAGCATGGGGGGGGGGGGGAGGAAAGGGGCTCTGACGTCGAAGCTATCTCTGTCACGATTTTACCCAGGGCTACAGTCTCCGCGTCTCTACTTAAATCAGACACACTAGTCCTTGCTCCTCCAACCTTGCTTCCCTCTCCACACACACCTTTAGGCTACAATCCTCAGGCCAAGCTACTAATTGGTTCCTTCACATGAGGGGTAAAACATGGAATTGAGTTGACGCAGCTTGTTTGTTTGGGCATGGCCAAGTGTTATCGAGTTGCCCCTGTGGAAGAGCTGAGAGCCCTTTGCTTCATGGAAACAGTAAAGACTTCCCAGGAAAGCTCTCTCTGCTCCCAGAAAGCTAGAAACTGAGTTCCCCCAGTTTCTCCTGCAGTGAGCTCAACCGGCAGGGCAAGGGAAGGAGGGTCTGGGTCTCCCAGCAGCAGGCTTTTGGGCTGAACTGACACATTCGGAGGGACCCGTAGGCTAAAGTGTGCACACTGCTTACCCCATCTCCTGATGGAAAAACTCACTTGGTGCTTTACTCTGAGTCAGCAGAGTTCCCCACCCTCCACTCCTGAAAAGGGCGCCCCCAAGGGAACCTTGCTCTTATAGCAGTTTCTTCCTTGGGCAGCAGGCCAGAGACAGCCCCGCCCTCCACAAGAGCTGCAGGATGCTGAGGACCCCCCCCCCCCCCCCCCGTTCAGGGCTCTGAAGCTGGTCCAAGATGCCAAAGGGAGGGTCAGGTCTGGCAGAATTCATCCTCTACTGTGACCAAAAGCTTGTCAGTGGCAGCTGTGGGGAGGGGGTTATCACCTGCTTCTGAGGGAAAGTGTCAAACATTCGCCTGTGCAGTTTCAATGTGTGTGTGTGCACTTGCTCAGATGTGGAGGGGGCACGGATATAAGACTTGGGTATGCTTTTTTTCCAGAATGGAGTTCTTAAGGGCTCTCGTAGAAGTGTCCACAAAAGCTTAAGGGGTGGGATAGTATCTCTCTCTCTCTCTCTCTCTCTCTCTCTCCTCCTCTCTCTCTCCCTCCCTCCCTCCCTCCCTCCCTCTCTCCCTCCCTCCTTCCCTCTCTGTATGTGTTTCTGAACCACCCGTGTGTGTCTGTGTGTCTGTCTTTGACCCCCCCCCCACCGTGTGTGTGTGTGTGTGTGTGTGTGTGTGTGTGTGTGTGTGTGTGTTGGTAGAGAGCAGCAGGTACTGGATCTGCAGTAATGTGCAGTTGCCATGTAGTTTCTTAGGGACACTCTAAGAAAACACACACACACAAACACACACACACACCAAGCTCCAAAGCACCAGGCTGGAAAAGAAATGTGTGTATGTGTACATATTTCAGCAGAATTGGAGGGGTGCATGTAGTTGTATATGTTTGGGTGACTGATTTGTTAGCATCAGGGTGGAAGGGTGCAAGTGCAGATGTTTGTGTATGTGTTTCTGTGTGTGTCTCTATGTGTGTCTGTGTGTGTGTGCGCGCGCGCGCCAACGCGCCTGTATGTTTCGTCTTTGGATGGGGGGTGACTGTGGTTGAGAGCGCAGCGAATGTGGTGCGGCTGTGTGTGCGTGTGAGTGTGCGTCTGTGTCCGCTTGTGAACATGGCCCCAGGAACCACGCACATGCTTCAGATAGCTGTTTCTGGCATCCCCGGGGCTAGGGCTTTGCCGGACACCCCAGCTAAGTGGCCCACCTTCCAGCAGCCAGGCCCCGCATCTCACCAGCTCTCCCAAAGGCGCCCACAGCCCCAGCGTGCACACAAAGGCTCCATAATGAACGCGCTGCATTCCCCTGCGCTGGGCTCCTCACCCTGCACCCGGGGCGGCCAAGGCGAGCCCGCCAAGGCTGAGACTCACCGAACACCGGGTGCCCAGCCCGCCGCTCCCCTTGGCCGCGCAAACTCCAGGCGGCCCGACGCTCGGCTCCCCCAACCCTGCCCCTGTCTCCCGGGGGCGCCCAAGCGTCCATCGCCCCCTGAGCCGGCCCGGGGCGACCCACCACAGCCACGACCCACCCCTGGTCGGGCAGATCTGCGGGCGCGCCCCCCTAGAAGCAGCGCGCTTCTTACCTTCCTCCTCCTTCTTCTCCTCCTCCGCCTCGGCGGCGCGGCAGCGGCGGCGCAGAGGCGGCGGCGACGGCGGCGGGACTAGGGCGCCGGTGCCCCGGAGCCCGGCACGGGCGTGGGGCTCAGTGGCGTGGAGCGGCGGGGTGGACGGAGGTTGGCGGGGCGGCAGCAGCTGGCCCGGGACGCGCGGAGCTGGCGCGCAGGCAGCGGGCTGCGGGCAGGCTGGCAGCGGCGCGCGCGGGCTCCTCGGGCGGGCTCCATGGCTGCGCCGCGGGCGGCACCATCTCCGTGGCTCGCTCGTCGCTCTCCTCGCTCCAGGAGTGCGGCAGGCTGCGAGGTGACGGATAGCGCCGAGGCGGCCGGACGGCCGAGGAGGGGAGGGGAAGGGGAGAAGGGGCGGGGGAGGGGGGAGGAGGGAGGAAAGAGGGGAGCGCAGAACTCGGGGTGGGGGGGGCCCTCTCCAGCGCCTCTCGACCCTCGAGTGCTGGCGTCGGTTTCCCCGAAAGGGAAAGCAGCTTAAAGGCGCAGCAACTGGCTCGGGTCACAACTAAAAATAAACACAAAATTGACAATTGGAGAAAGAATTTCCCAAGACACGATCCAGCAACCCAGCCACCCAGCTAGGCTCTGCCTCACTTCTTGAACACGACCATTCAGGCTGGGCTTTGCCGGGAACTGCTGGCAGTGAAGAGGGCAAACCAATTTCTAAAGTGAACCCGGGAAAGAGGGTGGGGGGAGGAGAGGGGAAACTGCAGAGAAGGGGCAGTGGCAGTGATAGATTCGGGGGCCTCCATTCTCTGCCCCCCCCCCCCCCCCCGACCTTGCTTCTCTCCCCTTGTTTGCTTGCCTTAGGCTAGGGATGCCCTCCCTGCAGCTACCCTCCTGGTCACCAACGCCAACATCCTCACGCACCTTGAGTTTCGGGCTCAGGTTCCTGCTCGCCTGCTTGCAGAGCCTCACCTCAGCACTGGAGCATAAGCAGCTTGGAGCCCTGGCCCAGCCAGGGAGCCCACCTCTGTGAGAGAGCAGTCTGCCAGCTGGCAGAGGTCTGCTTGGAGCATGCAGTTGGTTTGGTGAGAAGGGAAGGAGGTTAAGGTGTGTGTGTGTGTGTGTGTGTGTGTGGGTGTGTGTCCACAGCGTGTGTGCGTGCGTGTGTGTGTTCACCAGCGGATGGAGGGATGGAGGGGAGGGTCCTGGACAAACACACACACACACACACACACACACACACACACACACACACACACTCCATGCACACACTCTGAAGGAGAGCAGCTAGGCAGGCACAGCACAGTGCCTGATGAATGATCTCAGGGCATTTTTTAAGAGACACGTTGTGAATACTAAATGTACAGCAATGGAGATTCTAAAGAGAGCTCTTGATATCCCAGTGGGCACCAGCCCCTTTAGAGGAGTTTTACGGACCAAGAAAAAAGCTACTCAGTGGGGACCCAGAGAAACGGGGAAGCTGAACAGTGGAATCTGAGACAGTGGGTGAGATTGAGGTCAGAGAAGACAGACGCAGTGGAGTTTAAGACCCTCTGGTGATGCCAGATCCACCATGCAAATTCGTAAATCTCCAAGCATTAGAGGCACCTGGGAGAGACAGTTAACACTGGCCCCTCTGGGCCTCAGGAGTTCTATGGTGAAAAGTGAGTCCTCCATTCCCGTGATCCTGGATTCTGGAAGGGAGGCTGTTGGTAAACAAGGGCCCATTCCAGTTGGAATCTTTTTCTTCCCTCTAGTTTTACTGAAGCACCTGAGAGAAAAGGTGCTGAGACTGCAGGCAACTGTTAAGAGGATAGTCTATGGGATACCCAGGGCACAGAGGAGAATTCTGGGCTTGAGGATGGGGAGCTGTGGCTCCCTGCAGCTGGGATCAGCAGTAGAGTAGCTGACTAGCAGATTTAGCTATCCTTCTACTGAGCACACACACGTTTTGCTGTCTTCCTGGCAGTTCTTACCTTGAAAGAAAGGATGGAAATTCCTCCTTGCATCCGGAGGTCTCTGTGTCTGTTGGGAGGGGGGGGCGTGCCTGGACTGGGAAAACAAGCTGATGGATTTATCAAAGACAGATGATGAGAGACAGCGAAAACGTTTCAGGGAGAAAAGCACATCACATTCCTGACAGATGCAAGGCAGACTCTCTAACAAGAAGATGCTCTCAGGGACACTACATGCATACACAGGGACACATGCAGAGTCATACATGAAGCACAGGCACACCAAGTAGTGCATACTCACACACACACACACACTCACACACTCTCTCTCTCACACACATATCTAGTTAGAGAAGGGCGCAGTTTGAGAAGCAGGAAACAGCTGGCCTCCTCTATCCAGGAGCTAGGGAAAGAGCTGGACCAGTTTTTCAGTATGAACAAATAATATTTGCAGCCAGACAGGGCCTGGCTACTTTTCTTCAGGGTAGTGTTTCAAGTGATGGGATCCCTACATAAGGTCCCTTGATTCTCATCCAGTCCCGTCTTTGTTATCAGTAACAGATACCCAAGTTGGTGTTTATCTGTGCTTACAATGACACTCACTGGTTAGTAACTTAATGGAATGCATTTTCTGGTTCGGATTAAGCCCTCTTTTGCCGCAGAGCTGGCTCACTCAAAGCATATGCTGAAGCT